TAAAGTTTTTACATATTCATTCTTTGCCCGTGTGTGAGTGTTTAATTAAAAAAAAAAAAACAACTTACTGTTCAGATTACGAACAATTGAATGCTGTGTTAAATGGAAAATGGAAATTTTATCTGTACATATAGAAACAATAAAAACATTGAAGCATACAAACACACATACACACACACTCAATCGCTCGCTCGCATTCATACATTCATTTCCGTCTGCTTTTCCTGTTTCAAATGAAATAACACAATAAATTATTTTAAATAGAAAAATTGTTTACCTTTATTAAATTTTTACATTCGTAAACAAAAACATGGAGAAAAGCAACTCAGAAAAACCAAACTAATCAACTTTCTGACAGTAATACTATTTTTCTATTTCATAAATTATTTATGCTTTTTTGTTTGTTATTTTATTTTTGGAAAATATGAAAATATGGCAGTAAGTCTGCAGATCTATGTGTGCGCTCAAACAATAACAATAAACATGAAATTGAATTGAATATAAATCAACTTAAATATTGTTTATATGGCCTACAGTTAAGTAACAAAATATAATATATATTTCATTGTTATGCCCTCCAATATTAATTTCCTGCATAAATGGATATTTTAAATGTATTTTCTTAAATTTTTATGAATTTAATATAGTAAGTCGAAGGCCACACGAAAGTGATTTCATGAAACAATTTACACGAAATTATGAGTCCTTAGATCGAGTTCCTCAGTTCAACAATTTTTTAAAATTATTGTAGTGGGGAACTCGATCTAAGAACGCCTACTTTCATGTAAATAATTTCATGAAATTACTTTAGTGTGGACAGGGACTAAATAAGCTATGTTCCTAAATTGTATTCAGGAGAATATCGATTTTGCTGCAATAAAAGAATCCATTTCAAAAGTCGTTAAAGTTTTTCGCCGAGTCCGATTATTTGAGACTTGAAAAATTAGCTTCAAATGGGCGACACATATTATTGATTATCAATGATAATCGAAAATAATAATTTATATATATATATATATATATATATAGAAAATTCTATTTTCATTCGCTTCTTCTGAGAAAAATTTCCAACTGTATTCACCATAATATGAAGACCATGTCGTTTGTCCCTTAGTCGCTAGGTTGTACAAAGTTTGGTTAAATTGGACATTCTATTCGCCTAATATTGGATTTGTAAATATTGAAATGTTTTATCATTTGAGTGGAAGTTACCAGAAGGAGGGGGCTTAGTAAGAATAACAGGTTGTACAATGTTTAGTTCAAATCGGATAGTGCGTTCACATTATGTTTTAAAATCTATTTTTTTCCACGATGTTGACCATTTTGTGGGGGAGGTACCAAAAGGAGTGGACGGATATTTTCCTATGTTCGAACTTAAACTATGTTTGGAAGGAATATTACGATGTGCAAAGTTTGGTTGAAATCAGTAACTCCCTTCGAGAGTTTTCGTGGGCGGACGGACATTTTCCATGGGGTATAAAACCAAAATTTCGATGAGGCACATTTTTGCCGTAGCAAAGTGTATATACCCCTCATTAATCATAACGCTGAGGGCATGTAAAAAATATTGGCCCAAATAAAAGTATATAGTGGATCTTTCTTATTTTTCGTAGTAAATGGGTAACAAATAACCCCAGGAAAAGTTAGCAAAATTTATTCATTGTAGTGCACTCATGAAGTGAATATTCGGTATTTTTATATATAGGTATCGCCCATTTTATATAGGATCATTTTCCAGCCGAAGGGACTGTTATTAGCCATTTCGATTATTGATGGACAATTAAATCATTCGTATATAATTTTCAATATAGGTCCATATATTGACAAAGTACCCATACAAGGTTATAAAGGTTTGAACACATTTTAGCTGCCCTGATGTTGCTAGCAGAATTTTTCAACTGAAGTAAAAAACTCATTCGTAGATTGTTTTTAATACATGTCAATGTTTTTACTCGGTATTTTGGCGTGTACAAAATTTATTTGAACACAATTGACAATTTAATCCCGCATATAAATCCCCTGCAACATTTCGAGGGTCCTAGCCGATTTTTTTTCAAACTAAGTGTCTGCAATTTCGTTTCCTCACAGGTTGAACTGCCTCTTGGCAGACAATTATAAAAAGCGAAAAGATTTTATATATTTTTCTAATGCCAACCTCATGATGGAGGGTATAACCTTGCATTTACTTGTTATTAACCTCACTTTTCCAATACCAATACACATCGCAGATTCTTTTTTGTGTATATTTATTTAAAATCATTTTCTTTAGTCTGTGATTATCATTTCAAATAATGATGTGGCGACTGATTTTATATAAGAACTTCACTATAACCCTTTTCAACTACAAAAAAAAAAAAACCTTTCAAAGTGTTGCTTTTCATTTCATTTAGTCATGCAACAAAAGAATCGGATACAATTTATTGAAAAAGAATGATAAGAAACATTCATTGTTCGTGTCCGCTTGTCCCAAATGTGATTTTGAGGGATTTGTGTTTTTTTGTTGTTGGCTGTGTGTTGTGTGCATGTGAATGGACACCATTTATCCTCATTCCACAATTACCCCGTACCCTTTATTCATGAAACGAACCAACCAACCAAACAACCAACAGTTTTATGGTAATGCCCGTCTCATCATTTATTTTCTTCAAATAATCATTTAAATAAACCACAAGGATTCTTTTGTGACACTAGAGGTGTTTTTTCTGTGAAAGGAAGGAGAGAGAGGGAGAGAGAAGGAAAAAAATAACAATCCCATCATAGCAACAAAAATTGTTGCTTTTTTCGCAAAAAACACCAAACAAAAAAAGAAAAAGGAAATTGAAAGGTAGCAAAGCTGTGAATATATTTTCTTTCAAGTGAAAAACAATTAGTCTGCTTTTGAAAGAATTTTTATTTCCATCAGTGTTTTTTGTTTTTTGATTGTTTCTTCGGAAAAGAAAAATACGACGACGCAAGTATGTCGACAAAAAGTTGGCAAACAGAAAGTTTTCTTCTTTGGAAGTCTTGCAGTGTTCAAATGAATTTCTGTGCTTTGTGAATCATTTATTTACAGCTTACTTGGCTTGGTCGCTCCGTCATTCGGCCGGCCGGTCGGTCGCTCAGTTGTTGATGAAGTTTTACTTTTTCGAAAATGTTTACCTCGCCAGCCCAGTAATTGTGCCATAAATCACAGCTGGAAATAGCTGTGCAAATGTTGCTGTTGTAGTTCCTCTGCTTCTTCTTCTTCTACTTGATGTTGGTTATTCCATTAACAACATTTTAAGTCTTGAGACTATTTTCTTTTTAATTTTATAAAGGCCACAATCCCTATGCATTATAGAGAGCTAAATGAGTACCTTTGAACAAGAACAAGAACTATGCCAAAAAGGATTATAGTGCCAGGGATAAGCTCATGGTAAGTTTGGTAATGAATGGTTGATGGTTGGATGGATGGGGGTCCATGCTGTTATTTCATCGTTAATTAACGTTTCTGTTTGTGTGGAGGTGGTTCGGTGGGTTGATGGAATTATTTAAATGATGCTGAGTGCATGTTTTTCTGGGTTATTATTTCTCATTTCATTTCTGGCCTCCTCCTGTATGTTAATGAGCTGAAAAACAGATTTACATCCGCAACTTTAAATGGGACAACGGATATTTTGTTTCCGTGCAAAGTTCCTGAATGCGGGAGAGGATGTATTCAATTTTCACAACGGAATAGGAAATTTTATATTTTTATCATTGAGTTTTTGAATGGATTCAGGGCCTACTTTTACGAGTATTGCGCTTTAAGTGCCATTTAAGTTTACAAAAAAATAATTTAAACGACAACAACAAAAAGTTATGAAAAACAATCAGAAAAATAAGGTAATAGAGTCGAAGTTTTTACATTGTTAATTCGAAAAAAATAGGCACTCTCAAAAATTCGAGCATAATAATTGTTTTGGAATAAAATTGTTATTGAAGAGGGGGAAACAACTTGGTTGACTAAATTGACGTTTTGTTTGGAATGAGTGTCTTTTTTATACATTTTAGTCATAATGCTGAATTTATAATTTATTTTTCCAACCAACAATATATAAATATGATTAGTTTTTCAATTGTTTTAATTATCCAACTTGTGCTACATACGAATTTATTTTAGGAATCCACTCCGGCGTTGAATTATAAAATTGCGTTAAAGTCAGTGGCAATATTAAAACATGGTCCTAAATTTTACTTTTCTCCGAAATTTATTTTTGATTAGCAAAACCCGATGTACAAAATACATACGTTGGAGAATGAAAAATATTAGGAATAATATACTGCTTATACGCATTTCATTTTCCATGAGCCCGGAATGCTAAATTGCAGTTCTTTCGATTGGAAATTTCTTCGAAAATTGAAAATGGGATGGTATGTTATCTGGGGATAGAGAACATGTGAACTGATATACACCATTTTATACACCAAACAACCTAGGAGTAAAAGAAAACTAAGTGCAACATTTTAAAGTTCAATCTTTTTATTGTGGAATTTTGTCACGTTTTTAAACCAAAATGTCAGGGGTAAAAATCTGCATAATAAAAATTATATTGGCCCAAGTTTTGGGGCATACCACATATAAATTATATTTCATTTTCCGGTATTATGATATAGTATTTTGGGCTCTCTTCGTCCTACAGAAAGAAATAAAGTTCCCCAAAATTTAAATATTTTTTTTTATTAAAAAAAAAAAAATAATATCAGTCAGTATAATTATGAACCTATTTCTTTTCTTTTTTTTAGGTTTTTGACTTTTTGATCGAATGGGGTGAGTAAAATATTTTAATTTTTAAAAAATCTAAAAATAAAAATTTGCTTTCGAAATTGTTTTAAAGAAAATATACATACATAAATATTTATTTACGACAATTAAAAAATGTACAAACAACAACAATTCTTAAAGTCTAGTCTGTTTTATAAATATACATACACAGAAATAAAATCCTTAGAAAAAGTTGGAAAAAGAACTAAAAAATATGTCATGTTGCTGCTGCTTCTGCTCAATAGTGTTCTTGGCGATTTGGTTCGATAGTTACACGCGAATAGGGACTACCCGGACCCACTTTACGACGCATTGTAACACCACCATGTGGTCGTAGACCCATTACAATTAGATAGATGCCCACCGAACACAAAACTATCAGACCCAATATTATAATGCCATAGACCCAACGGGGCCAACGTTCACAACTAAAATCAGATGGATCAGCTGAAGTCAAGGTGATACCTCGCAGACGTGACGGCTTGAAACAACGACCATTTGTCTCGAGTCGAACATTCTTCAGCCACACTAAGTTGCAGTCACAGCGTAACGGCACACCGTGTAAATCCAGGACGGACAATTGGAAAAATATTGGCGAGAGGGTGGAGTTAAAAGTATGTACGCCAGTACCACGAAATGTCATTGTATGCAATCGTGGCGAACGCGTGGCATTGGCACCAAAGGTATGCCCATCAATGTGGGATAGATGGCGACTGTTTTGGAAGCTGATCTTCTCCAACGACTGCAAAGGTACAAAGGCATTCTCTTCCAGGGTGTGTAAGGCAGGCATATCTTCCATGTAAAGTTCACGTATTTGCGGTATACGCTTGGTATCATTTTCCGAGAGAGTGAGGAAAAGATTTTCACTTAAATCGATTTTCTCCAATGTGGATGGTAGATTGTGGGGGATTTCGGTAAAGCGATTGCGTCTCAAATCCAATTCTTTGAGTACCACCTGCTTGCGTAGTGTGATATTGCTTAGACTGCAGGCTTCCAGTTTAAGGGTCTTCAAATTGATGTTCACCCCAAATGTTTGATAGAAATCCAACTCTTGTATACCCTCGGTCTGGTTCAGTTGACGATTCCATGACAGATACAACGATTCCAATATCATTAAGGGGGCAAATAGTTGGAAACCAATATTGTGGATGTTGTTGTGCGACAAATCCAACACCTGTAAATGACCAAGTTGATCAAAAGCATTGGCTTCGATCGATTGTATGCTATTCCAGCTAAGATAGAGTTCACGCAAATTGAACATGTTGATAAAGTTTTTGGCCACGACTGTCGAAATATTGTTGTGCATGAGATTGAGGAAGCGCAATGTGTCACTGGACAGGACTGGTACTCGTTCCAAGGCATTCCATGTCAAGTCGAGGCGATCCGAATACAGAGGCAGCATTTCAGAGAAATCTTCGCTTTTCAAATTCTTAAAACTGCAGTCTATGTTCACCACCCGCAGGCCCCATGGCGGGGAGCTGTCACTGTTGCATTCACAGGATTTACGGTTATTTTTGAGTTGCTCCGGATAGCAGAAACGTTCGACTTCAATACCTTCGTTAAGGAATTCTCCAGTAACGGCCAATATTTGTAGAGCTATAAATAGCCCCACTTTGTACTTAGTCACCATATTAGTCAATGTGTTTTGTTAGTGTTTTTCGGGTTCGTTTTCACTTTTTAGCTGTCGATTATTCACGCGGATTTGATAAAAAAAATTAATAATAACAGCGATTCTATAGCTTCGTTTTTTTCGCTACTCCACCTGCTGTGAAAATTTAATCAATACTGATGTTCTGTTCTCTTGGGTTGTTGGGTTAAACTCCCGTAGTAGTCGTAGTTCAACCAGCCATTCTCACTTCCATCGACATTCCAATTCCACTAACATGCTTTCCATTGGCGTTACTGTTATCTTATCGCGGTCGGTTGTACGGTTTTTGTGGATCGATAAGAACAACTGTGACTCGTTTGCGTCCCCAACGATTTTAGGGTCCAAGATATTGGAAAGGTGGACGGGTTGGTGTATACGTACGCCTTCATGTTCATAGTGCGTTTTGCGTTTGTTTTATGGGTCCATTTTTTGTTTTGTTTACATTTTGTGTCTTATCGCACCTGCACTTACTTGATCTAAAAAACGACAATAACAACAACTACACCAGTGTTCAAATCGGCCAAATAAAAATGATTAGAAAAACAAAACAAAGTCAAACACCTACACCGTAAAAAATATCTCAAAATGTGAAAATAAATGTGTTTACGTTAAACGATGAAACACATTTCGTGTGTCTTCACCTCAGAGGAGGACCATCCCCCATAGGGATGGATTGTTATTGTTGGTGTTGTTGTTGTTATCAGTTTGAAATAATTCTAGGCGGATTAGTTTTGCCGTCACACAAAACATCCATTTGGGAATGCGGTAAATGTATCGACGCTTTGGTATGTGGAAAATAATATTTTTGAAAATCGTATCAATTTAATTTTTTTCTTTCATATTTTGTTGATATATTTTATGTGGCAAGGTCTGGGATTATTTGTGAATATGAGCATTTGTATTGTAACAAGCTAAAATGGAATATTTAATAATATTATGTTTCTTTTCATTGGAAACACATGTGAGTTTTAACTCATTGAGGAAGATTATCTACTTTTCTCTGTGGTAAACAAATAATCAGGAAGTAATATTTTTTCAGTTCATGAGAACCTTGAAATAAAATTATTATTGATGATATTTTTCGGAAATACTATAGTTTATAAAATATTAAAACTATGCATGTGTTTTACTTTAAATAATATAAATAGTAAAATAAAATTATTTGAAATTAAATGTCGAAATAATTATAGAGATGTGTGTCCCTCCGGCTTTTATTATAACTTGTAAACAAAGTACTGGCCACAGTTATGAAACAATCGTCAGAAAATTTTGCATGTAGATTCTGTTCAGACCAAAGTCAAATTGACCTTACACATTATGCTTTCCTTGTCGCAATAGAGGCCTCGAATATGACCCGAGCATCACAATATATAATTTGAATGTCCTCTGACCCCGACTTTTGTGTGAAAAAATACCAACATTATTCATTTTATGGCGTGGTTGGACTTTAAATTAGTAACAGTTATATTTATGTCCTCTGATTCCCATTACCATACTTGGCACTTTACAACAATCTGGCGCTGATGGCTAGAAAAATAAAAACGAAGTTTTCGGTGATGTTCAGATAATATTTAGGCGGTGACCGAAATAATATTTAGACGGTACACGAAATATTAAAAAAAAAAAATAAAAAAAAACAATTGTTATACATTTGTGAAAACCTCTTAAAGTTCCTATTGGAGGAATTCATTATGTTATAACTCTCGTGGAAATGATCCCAAGTTTATAGCGTATATTAAAAAAAAATTAACACATAATAATTTTTTGCGAATAAATTGTTAAGCCCCAAGTGGCACTTCAGAGGAAATTTCCACTTAATACTGTTTTAGCTTAATTTTTTATGTCCACTTGTCGAAGTGGTTGTGTCATACACTGTTTGAAGACTCTGAAGTTTAGGAACATCCCCCATATCCCGCCTTTAAAAATTCGAACGACATTTTCTACGACAGAATTATGTACGGCAATTTATTTTTAATTTGTTTAATATAATATTAAGTGTTTTAGTAGGGTAAACTGTGGAATGAGATTTTACCGTACTATAAGACTTTAAAATATTATACATATGTTGTGTATAATATATAATTATTTATAATTATTACTGGTAGTTTCAACAATAATTTGTTTTTATACCTACTTTCTTATGATTTTCTTCCTTAATGGCAACTCATTTGCCTTCATCACCACTTTCCCACCAATAACAACCTTGGCGTTCATGCACTTCCCATAAAACCATAAGAAAGAGAACGAAAATTAAAATTATATGAACCATTCATTCACACACACACACACACACATTTCGCACTCCCTCATTATCCAAATGAATAAATGTGTCGTTTATTTGCGGCAAATAAAATACCTGTGTCTGAACCATATTCCAGGGTATACATAAACCATTTAATGGCATTGTTTATTATTAAACGGCCCACTTCCCCTCTCACTTGTTTTCAACATTGCAAAATTCGAAAATTAAAATTAATTCATATAAAGTCGGGAATTTAACCAGAAACACACAATTTATTTAAATCTTAATTTGGGTAAACCATAGATTGTTGTTGTGGGTTGGTTGTTTACATTTAATTTGCTCTTGTTGTTGTTGTCGCGAAGGTGGGTAAGGTGATTGGTGTAGGCAGCCATACGAAATAATTACAAAATGTAAAATTATATATGAGTTGTATATTTATCTTAATTTTCTGTCACAGAGCAGAAGAGAACAAGTTTATAATTACGCCTAAAAGTGCTGAACTTTTTCTGCCTTCTCTGCTGGTGATAACCAATACTGAAGGTAATTTTATGAAAAAGAAATATAGAGAAATACCAGCAGTTTTTTGTTTGGGAGGAAATGTTAAATGTACATACTTTTGAAATTATATAAAATTATAAAAAAATATATTGGCTTTAGTAGTGTACGTATTTGAAGACGTTGCATTCCAAAAAATATAAGTTTTCGTAAAAAAATTTATTTTAAACAACTGTATAATGTTATGCTTGTCTCAATGAATTACCCCCCACAGTCAAGCATTTTGAACGTTCATATCTCAGTCAATTTTGTTGATGTTGAGATGATAGAAAACTTTATTTCTGTCAGATTTTCTAGTCGCTCTTGAAACCAATATTATATGCATAACATCACATATTTTACACGGTGAAGGGGATCTGACCGAATACTTAGAAGGCTGTTTAGATGATGATCGGTCAATCCGAGAGTAAAAATTAACCAAAACCTAAAGTGACCAAATTTTTATTTTATAGCGTAAATATTGCCCTCGGGATAACAAGAGTTGGAAAATATGCCAGGGATAGAAAGTGGAGCTCTTGAGCTATAATCGATCAAGAGGGTGCAAATATAGTGAAATATTGTCTATGCTCAGAATATAGAACCGGAGAAAGTCAAGTAAAATAACCTTACGGCACGGTTTTTCCAATCCTCAGAAAAAATATTTGAAACTCGCTTCTTTGTGTTCAGTTTTGGGAAAAAGAAAAAAGTTAGCGGTTCCAATTCCAATGAATACGATGGTCGATGATTTTTTGTTTGAATTTTATAAATTTTGGTTTATTTCTTTAAAAGTTCCCTGTATACTCAGTAACCCAGAATATCCACTAATCAATGTGCTTATTTTTTTTCAATAATTCCATTTTTTTATTAATCAGCAGTAGCCATGCTAATCCTAATGATGGTCCCAAAACGAATACCGGCTAATCCCCTTGGAACGTGACTGAACCGTGATTCTCACCCACCTTGTAAATGTGTAGAATGGAACACAAAACCATAATACGGGATTAGATGGGGGATCCTGTGGGTGTTGCTCCTCTGTATTTTGTTGTTACTCTCCAATTCAGTGCTTTTCAGTGCCTTGAACGCACATCACCGAACATTAACCAAGCAAGAAAGAAAAAAGAAGACTGATTGACCAGTCAACTCGTCACACTCATCAACAATTGTTGGTTGCTGGCTTGCTTGGTTGGCTGGTTGGTTGGTTGCCTGACTGACTGCAGTATGATGGTGTCTGATGGCAGCCACACAGCTGCTGAGGGGTTTCTTTAATGATTCCATTGACACGGCAAACGGATGTCGTCACGGTCAATTTGAATGCAAAGCCATTGTTGGTTAATAACAAAGTCTTTGTTGTTGTTGGTTGTGGTGATGTTTTTGTTGTCGCCTCTTGAAGTTCATCTAAAACTGATTATTGTCGTAAAATTTGTTTTGTGGCAAATAAATTTGCTTTATCAAACAACTTGCCTCCGCACCACCCATTCATCTCTGTACACGTCTCAGCATCCAAAAGCATAGCTTGTAGGAGCATAGTAAATTGGTGTTCTTAAGAGCAACTGACAAAAGCCAAGCTGGTCGTCTATGCTTGTGTTTGTACCTCCCTGTGTGAGTGTGTGTGGGTGGGTGCGTGTTTCAGAAGGGATAATGAATGAACATCGTCTCTGGTGTCATTGTGTTTGTGGCTAAAGCTTTGAGGCGGCGACAGTGTTTATGGTGAGGATGTTTTACAAAGTCATAACACGAAATTGCCATTTGAACATCATTTATGTTATTGCATGAGTGTATGTGTGTACGTCGTACTCCATAAACGACTAATACACTCTAAACAGCATCAAACTCACTCACTGACTGACAAACTGCCATACATACATTACATTACGTGTACGGTACGGTTTGTGCGTGATAGTAGGTGTGCGGGTGTATCAGTGTGTGTGTTTGAGTCTGTAGGAGTATCTGCCTTTGGGATAAGTTTTCAATGCATGTACATGTCAAAAAGTTCCTAACTTACTGCCAGTTACGACAATGGTAACGACGGCGGCGACGACCGCTTACAATGAACGACGTTACGATTTCAGTGTACCCCAGCCTAGATCCTGCCGTCATACCCACAATGACACAAACACACACACACACCACTAACATGTGGAGCCCAGCATACGGGTAGTGTTCGCAAGTTCTGCTCGTATGAAATGCCTGCGGTTCCTTTAATGTCTGTCGAGTAGAGTATGGGCTGGGGTGGTGGAGGTCGTGGTGGTAAATGGGTTCTGGGCTGGCATGTAACTGACGTTAGCCGTCGGTTGCATGAGCTTCACGGCAACGACGAGGACATACAACGACCCTACCGCAATGACAACAACAACAAGAACAGATACACTTAAATGTGAATGATGCTGATGATTATGATGTCATTGTTTCTGTTGTTGTTGTTGTAACTCAAGTGAACTTTACTAAATCCAGAGAGACAATTAAAGGTTATTGTTTTTGCAGCGACTGTGACAGCGGCTTTCTCAGCATAAGTATAAGCTCTATATTCTCAAGTCTGTGTATGGGCGCGAGTGTGTCTCTATACGCGAGTGTGTGCATGTTTGCATGTGTATGGCCGACCGACCCTCAATGATAAGACGATGAACAACAAGACCAAGCCATGTGAAATAAAACTGAAAGTGAATAATTAATAAATTTCTCTTTATTCTGTTCGTGTTGTTTTTGGCGCTGCCGAGTATTCGCTCTTTAAAGGCATAAACAGTTGTGATTACAAAACATTTGTTATGAATAAAAACAGGTGTAAGCGAAAAATTTCACTGGCACTTTGTTGATGTTGTTGTTTTTGTTATTATCTTGCATGTTTTGTTTTCATTTTGCTCCACTATGCTCGCTATGTGTGAGTATGTGTGCGTGCAGAACACAAGATGATTGTAAACAAAAACAAAATAGCAAAGAGGACGGAAAACACACAAAGGCTAGCTGGCGTGAATATGAGCACTATTCAATTATATTTTTCCTACGAGGTAGGGTTGGGAAAGTTTGCGTTAAAGAATATGGATAATTATTTCTTTTGGAATTGGATTATTATTCATTATTTTTCTCATTCGTTCCTCAATATATAAATATTTTGATAGAAGAAAATTCCTAGCTGGGTTTCAAATTATTAGCTATGTTTTTTTTTTGTTTAAGGGAACCCCCCATTCACGATTTTAATTTTTCAAGATTTTTAATGGGCTGCTAAATCAATACCTATGCTTGTTAAGGTTTGTAACTTTGCACATATATATTTGAAGATTTAAAGGAGAAGAAAAATAATTTATTGTTTTGTTGTTGTTTTTTGTAATTAAAGAAAAGTCCTTATTTTTGATGGCGGGCATGATAACTCCTCACTGGAACATCGGAATCCGAAAATTCCAACGGTATTAGAAAGAGTACATGACTGGATATCGTACACCAACAACAATATACGGCAGGAAGATAGTCGAAGGAAAAACAAAGAACTCTTCTTAAGACCTCATCTCACTTGGATGACCTTTTCACATGGCCTCTCAAAGTCTAAGTCTCAAAACCTCCATACCAGTTATAGAAAATGGTATAGAACTAAATTACGCATTGGCTTAAGAATTAAACAACACCTTTAAGCGGAGCTTTATAATTAAATTAAATTACAGAAATACCACGTTACTCGCTATTAGGTTGGGAAGTGAAACTATGATCCTCAAGATGCACAAAAGCAGGCCCCAAAAAGTGGATATATACCAACCATTTTTAGGAGGTTTATTTATATTAAAAACTAAAAACCGTTTGTTCCCACTTTCAAATATATTTGCCATGAATTCATCAATTGTTACTAAAAGGCCGAGTCAACTGGTACATATACATAAGATATCTACCACAATCTGAAATGAACTTATGACGTATGTACCCATCCTCGTACATAAATATATTTGAATGAACATAATTCAATGTGAAGAAATTTCACGTGCTTAACTTGAAACAATAAAAAAGGCGAAAGAAAAAGAACAAAAGCAAAAACAACAAAATACAACCATTAAGGCAACCAACCGACCATATCTTCATGCATGTACCACACACACACACACAAACACACTGGCTTAAGTTGAACTTTATGTTCATGTGTGAGAATGGATGTCAGGGGGTGTGGTTGTGTGTGTGTGTGCGGGTTTTCTCAACCTACAACAATGATGAAGGCTGAATGTGAGACGGCACCAAAGAAAATAAACTCGAATTATGCTACAATTATATCGATGATGTACGGCAACGATGACAGAGGCAATGAGGAAGATGCCTTCAATGATGACCCCATGGCTAAAGAGAATTTCGTATGTTCCCTTTTTGAAAGAGATAAAAAAAGAGTACAGATGTTGCATGTACATGTGTAAAGAGAGTACATGAGAGAGTATCTCTGTGCGCAAAACATTCATCCATCAAAGCAAAAAAATGGAAATGGATTTATAATTTCTCTACAGGATATGGATTTGGATGGACTCTCCTTCTTATTGCTAATAGTATTTTCTACTCGTTGTTGTTGTTGTTTTTGTTACTGGTTTGCTCTTGACTGTGATGCTGCTACTGTTATATGCTCCTGCCGTTGTTGTTGCTTCTGATTCTTGTGCTACTGGCCTAGTGCCATGAATTTGTTTGTTTTTGTATTTCTTTCATTTGCTCCTTGTGTGTGAGTTCTGATATCGAAATTGAGCACAACTGGGAGAAAGGACATAACTGAAAAATTAAATAACACAAAAAACAAAAAAAAAATCCAAAGGAAATTGAAACTCTTGAATTTTGAACGTTGTTTTGCTGTCCCCTACGCGTGAATGTTGGGTATAATTTGTTTGAGCTATTCAAGGATATAATAAAAATTTTAAAATAGAGATAGCAATGGAGAATATTAAACATACATTTCTAATACTCCTATGATGTTCGGTATTGAATATGGGATATATCTAATTCGATATTCTGGGTTCATGGAGTGTACAAAATACTGTAAATTTTTCAACAGAACTGTCCGTAATTTGGCATTTCGAATTCATGATTATGAAAAAATCCTCGCATAAAAGTAGATCTATGCTTCGACATAGCACCCATATAATGGAACAGCCTTACTTTTCCTAGACTAATTTTCCAACCGAAATGGTTATAATTTGACATGACGTTATCAAACAAATTTCAGCATCCATATAAAATTTCCGTTCGTTGTTAGATACTTTTATGGTCCTAGGAGGATATTTTAACAAAATTTGCTATTTCTAATTCCTGTTTTTGGTTGGGTACCGATATTCAATATAGATAAATATTTCTCCTTGTTTTAAATATTTTGATAGTTATCTACCAAAGACACAAACCACCATGTTAACAGGGCAGTTGACAGAGGCCTTTTAACATTAGCGGGGCAAAGTTAATTTTAGTGATAATAAAAAAAAACTATAATTTTCTTAAAAAGAGAAAAGTTACTACTTATTTCTAATAAAAACACTCGTGAAATATAAAATTAAATTATTTAAAATATTTTCACCGTACTATGAACAACCCCTAACTAGTACTGGCCTCATACGTGGAAAGACAATTTCATATGCTAATTTTTCAATCCTACCAGTCCAATATCCGTATCCATGGAAAGCATTCCCAAAAGGTTTCATTTTGTAATGATGTATTTGCAGGATAAAATATCACTTGCAGAACATTTTAACTCACCAACCATATAGAGGTCCCTCACCATGTTCTGAATTTTCCAACCTGATGGTCCGTAATATATGGTTTCATGCCTTTGGGGACCATATCTAGAATGATACTATTTCTGTAGAATATTTTGAGGTCAAGAAAATAAGAAGAAAAGAAAAGCATGGTATAGAAGGAGAATGTGTTTAAATAAATTATTACTCACTCGATTTCACTGAAGAAATGCAATCTCATAAATGCAATAGACCCAATGAAAGATATTAAGCTTTTTCTTTAAGAAACAATTTACCTAAGACGAATTTGTCATTTTGGGGTTTTAATGTACTCGCTAAGGGTGTTTATGCCCATAAAGGAATCTTCTAATACACCCCCTTGCTCAGTGTTACAAATTATTGATATATTCTGAAGGCAAATTTCTTCAATTTGTTTTATATTTGGAGATTTTATTGTTATTTTAAATTCATACAATTCTATTTTATATTAAAAAAAAGTATAATTTCATATTAATGTGCCTGATAGTCGACTCTTACCACTCACTACATGTACAAAGTGAGCATCAACACCCAGCATCCTTTTTAGGCCAATAATTTGCACGTATTTCCCGCATACCCTTGCGCCAACAAGCACACACACACACTAATGCAACTCACTTTACTTCTGCTACTCTCAAAAATTGTGTTTTGGTACTCTCAGATTTGAAATGAGAACACGGATAGTTGGTGGCTGGCTGACTGACTGGCTGAGCCGAGACCAAACCAAAGATTCAAACGAAAACGAAAATTTGTCATCCACGCACAATATTCGATACGATTCTGGCAGTCAGCAGCCAGCCAGTCAGTCGTCCTCAGGCCAGTGTAAACGTAACACGTACAAAATAACGGCATACGGATAACGGGATAACGACGGGACGAACTCTTTAGAGTCAGTCTTAAGACAAGACCTAGTGTGTGGCGACAGTGACAGTGCGATAAAAACGTCTATTGGAGTATTAATTTTCGTTGCTGTTATTGTTATTGCTTGCGTTGTCATCTTCTCTGTCTTCGTCTTATTTATATGGTGATGGTGTAAACGTAAAACCGTGAGTTCATGTCCGCCTGTCTGAGTGTGTGTGTGTGTGTGCGTTACAACTTCTCCAATTCCTTGCAACTATTGAAAGTGTTTCGATAACGGTTTGTCATTGTAACGACGTATGGTTGGACCCAACCGAAAACAACAACCACAACAACAAAGAAACAGAAAGTAAAAAATAAAATAAAAAACGGGAGGAAACATTTTTGAAAGATGTCATCGAAAAGTGAAGGAGATTTATGAGTTTGAAATATATAAGAAAAACAACGACAGCAACCACGGCAGCAGCAAGAAGTATCACATTTGTTACCTCGTAGGGTGATACTATCGACAGTCGTTGTGGTTTGTTGTTCTTGTTGCCAATGCCAGTTAGTCAGCACAAGATTTATATGGAAAATGAAAAATTCCACACCAACACCTCTAACATATGGTTTGATAAACGGCAGGTTATTATTGGAAAGGTGCGATGCGTTACTTAATTTTAGGACCACCCAAACCCCCAATTCCCACGTGGAAATTTTGAATGTTGTGAGAATTTATGGAGACATGCCAACCATTTAAAATTCGGTTATTTTAAATGTGCTTCCACTCACTTATGGCCCGACTCCTTACTATGACAGAGACTACGTACGGTGGCTATGAGTATGTCAATGGCGATGATGATGATGATGCTGCTGCTGACAGTAGCGACAATGTCGACATCAATTTCGGCCATACAGACGTCATCAAATTTGTCTGCCTTCTTTTTTGTCTATGCGAAAAAAAATAACCTCACTGGATGTGTGTCCATGGGTGCGTGTGTGTTTGTGTGTTGTTTTGTGCAAGCGTATATTTATGTGCAAATATATGAATACTTGTGTAAATGCGGGGGTTTGGATCTGTTGGTGTGTGCGTGTGTGTTTGTGCCAGGCGAATGTTTGTTTGCCTTTATATATATGAGTGTATGTGGGTGTGTGTGTACGTGTTCGTATGTTTGCCAACATTTCACATTCCGAGTTCAAAGAATGTGATGGCCTTGTGAGCGCATTATCACCCAGTGCTGCTCCATGAATTGAATTTGCCTACAGTTTCTGTTTCGGTTTTTTTCACTTTGTTTTTGTGTTTCCGCCACTACGGCTACACAGTATTCGAGCATACGTGCGTGTGAGTGTGCGAGCGTGTTTTGGGGGCTGGGTGATGCTTTCATAATTCGCAAATTTCTATGCCTTCGCTCTGAGGTTAGGCCTTTAGGCAGCTAAACAAATCATGGTTGCAGAGGAGAGGACGGACGAGGAGAAGTTGGACATCATAACAAGATGTTTGTTTTATTGTTATTTTGGTTTTTTCTGTTTCCATAGATAATTCGTTAAAGGACCATAAAAACGCAAATTTTGCCAATGTTAAATAAGACAAATCATCGGAATCGACAACAGCGGCGGCAGTAACATAAACATATTTTCCTTTCACAAAAACAACAATAACAGCTAACTCTCGTTTCTATCTACGAAGGCGTCGGAAGTTTGTGTGTGTTTGCTAGCTAATAAATCCGATCATCTTTAGAACGTTTATTGTACCATCAAATAGGGTGTAACCGCCTATCTGCCGAAATAAAAAATAAAACAAAATCATCAGCTACTCCATTTAACCCAGTAGTTGTGGCCTGTGATACAAAAAAAACCCTTTTGTGGCACACAAAACACAGAACAAATATAAATGCGAATGCCATAATTTAGTTTTTTTTTTTGTCTTCCCATGGAATGAAAACAAAGGAAAACAAGCTAAGCTAGGCCAACTAAAATCGGAGCACAACGCGAAATTATACTTTTGTTTCAACACCAAAGCTTAGCATCGTAACGCAAAGCAGCAACTCAACGCCACGCATCGACAATAGGCCAAAGCATAGCAGCATCGTCATGGCTAATACGATTTTCAAATATCATCAGCATTCGCAACAGCATCAACATCAGCACAATCCCAATTATCCGTATCATCAGGGCCATGGCAGCGGGAACAGTAGCAGCATCAGCGGTGGCATTGCCACCATTGATGGCAACAACAGCAACCACAATCAAAACAATAGCAATCAAAATTCAATATTCGTTTTAAATGCCGAAGCGAAAGTAAGTTTTTCTATCCATAAAACAAAGAGCCGCTTTCTCCCCTGCCCTGCCCCATCCCCTTTCTTCTCCCATTACCTTTGTTTAACAATCTATTTTTTTGTCTGTCTGTTTGTTTGAGCATCGAACACATAAAACCAAACAAAAAATGGATGAAAGAGTTTTCAATTGGTTTTCCACACTCAAAGGAAAATAAAAAACGAAAGTGAAATAAATTTAAATTGAAATCCTCGTTGAGAGATGAAAAGTAAAAAGAAGACAAAGTTTTAAATATAAATTCGTTTTTATTGCCCATAGCATAGTTTGATCATAAATTTACCTATCATTATTGTCTATCGATTTAGGCGTTTGAAAAACAAACATAAAGATTAATTAAAATGCTGAACATTGGGAAGGGAATTCAATTTTCCGAGTGGAAAAAGGGGTGTTATTATTTTTTTTTTTACAGAAATCTGAAGTTTTGCTGAGGAATATAAATATGAATGATTGTTAAGATGACAGGTGCAGATGACTTAAATATATATTTTGAATAATAATAGAATTTTATGTGGCTCCGAGTGCAATTCTGTAACTTTTTTCGGTGTTACCCACAAATATCGATAAAAAGAATTTTTCATGTAAAAAATAAACAACTACAGAATAGCAGTTCTGATGTTTTTAACTTTCAGAAAATAAACGATGATTGAGTTGTTTATTTTGAAAGTGATATAAGTCCATTTTTTCTTTTATTGAGATATTTAGTGGTATAAATTTTGTTTGTGGCTTTGTGCCCTTAAACATGATGGAATATATAATGTAATGTGTTTTGTAAAATTTTCTAGAAAAAAAATGGACTTAAACCACTTTCATAATAAACGACTCGATTTGTTGTTGCTCTAAGGGACCCCACCCATTCTCGGTTTCAAAAAATTTAATTTTTTATTTTGATTTAATTTAAAACTACACTTATTCAAGAATGTCTCTATAAATTTTCAAGAGAAAATCTCAACAATTTTTGAAGATATAGCCGATTTATTGTGTTAGCATCAGGTGACAGCAAGACTTTAAACGCGTTTTTCTCCAAACAGCGTTTTTTTGGGAATGACTGGCACGATAACTCAAAAACTAATAACCCAATTGATTTCAAATTTTGGGACGTTTCTCTGTGAGTGTATAGCTTTCGTATGAACTAGGATAAAGCCAATCGGCGAAGATCTTCCTTATTTTTTAACTTAGTTTGTGGTCAAAAATAGGCGATTTTCCCAAAAATGTTTTTCAAAGTTCCGCCATTTTGTTAACTGTTGTGCGAAGTCAATAATCCTAGTTCATACGATAGCCAGACATGTACTCTTTCTAACACCGTTGGAATTTTCCGAATTTTCGTGGTTCCCTAAAATTAAAAAAAAACAAGATGTATGTTATGATCATTAAGATTACCTTCGTAAAAGGTAGAGAAGAATATAGTTGCGGATTTTGTCCCGATCCTTATCAGATCTCTAAGTATTCAGTTCCCAGAAAGTCATTCATCACAATATTGTGATCACAGCACATTTTGTTTTTAAACTTTAAACCAACTGAAGTCGGGATCTTCTTGGCTTATGAGTTACAATTTGAAAAATAAAATATCTAAAAAATGTATTCAAATATCTCTTGACTAAAAATTAACTTTTAGTGAAATTATGGTAAATTATTCTAGGCTATGTTAATTTTTTGAAAAGGTATATCTTCCGGAAGTCCATATTATATTAAGGAGTAACGGCAACATTTTCTATTTTATTCATATATTAGGAAAAAATATTGAATATTGTATCCATATCTTTATTCACACTTGTACCTTTCAATTTGAACGGCACATTTATAATATAGAATTCTCAATTACCAGGACACGTCCTTACAAAATTTTCATATAAGTCCATTGATTGGTATAACTTTAAGATATCTTTACAATATTGGTTTAAAAAGTTTCGAGCATTTGTAGTCGAATGTTGATAGTTTAATAGCTTTCGGTCCTTCATTTAAAATGCTTAGCCCTTGTGTTTACCTATTTAGCTTGGGCCCATTTTGGTATTTGATTTTTGTAATCCACTTTTCTTTTAAAAATTTTAAAACATTATAGTAACATATTGGCAATTTCCAGTCTCAAAAATATCAGAACTCTATCTTTGAGGCAATGAATCGATGTTGGCATCACTCTTAAAGAAACTTTTCCCTTTAAAAAAAAAAAAAAATAGTTACGTTGTTACGTCAGCCTGATCAGTATAAATACATTACAAGGCATCTTAATGATAACTCTGGCTTTTTCCGAGCCCACAGAACCGCCATCATCTCATCCGTTAAGATGATTTTTCCATGGAATTCCGAATAATGCTTGTGTCCTTGCTGATTGGTTCCTTAAATGAATTAACCAATCAGCAAGGACATGACATTGTTGAAGATCGGTTAGCTGGATTTAGACAAAACATTGGCTTAGTAGAAATGCATTGTCGGAACCACATTAAACTAGCATTTTTGAAATCGCAATTTTTTGTTGGTTTCATTTGGTATTATTGTAGAAGATGTAGACTTTTGGATTAAAAAAACAATTACATTTGTAGCAATTTAAATAAATGAACATTTTAATTGAGACCAAATAATTAGTTCGTTCTCCAAAAAGTTCACTGCATCCATAGGTAGCTAGAAAAGTGACGATTTGTAAGAAAAAATATATATAGAGACTTCGGGAGCAGGAAATGGGTTCTTTATAAACGTACTCGACTATATTTCATTCTAAGACTATGTCCAGGTTTCAATTATTGGTCACGTTAAACTGAATTTTGGTTTCCTGCGTTCTTTTTTAATTTATAAAATTAGAATAATTAATTTTCGGAATCGAGTCCGGTATCAGATTATTTTTTTCTTACAAATTTTAATTTTCTAATAAAATACTCATTTCATTTTTATGATATAATTTATACCACTTCACATTGTATAACGAATTTGGAAGGACTTGTTTTTTATTTCAACACGATTGTTCGACATCGACAGTTGCATTTCTTTGAGTGTATAACATTTAGGCAATTCTATCGACTGAATGCCAATTGAAATGGAAATTGTTAACCTTCACAAATTTTGATTTTTTTTCTCTGTTGAATTTTTCACCCTATTTTTTCCAATGATGTTTTTTTGTTCTTCTTGTTGTTGTTGATGTTTTGGCTTTTATGTGTTCGCAACGCTTTCGGGCATTTATAAAAAAAAACTGAAAACAAAAAGTCAATGATAATAATTTCACTTTCTCCATTTGTTTTCTTGTTGTTGTTCTTTTTCTCTTTTAGATTTCGCCAAATAGTTGTAGGAAATTCTATTTAGATTTTAACGATAACCCAATGGACTCATCTGCAACGCTAACCCAACAATCAACAGCCGCCTCGGCCACAGCTGGTAATGGGGTCAATAGTAATTTTTCCTCATTTCCCTCGGCGTCATCGGTATGGTCTTCGGCATCGTCCACAATGTGTTCACCTGCTGCTCATGCCATACAGAAGCTGTTCAATTGCAGCAGTGGCGGCGGTGGGGGTGGTGGTGTTGTTGGTGCTGCTGGCTCCGCAACGAAACATTATGGAAATTTAAGCTCTGGAATTGATTCAAAGTCATCGGCATTAACATCATCGTCATCGTTTAAGTCTTCCAAATCGGAATTACTGAAGAAGAAATCAAAGTTCTGGCAATATCTGGAGGGTGAGACGCAGTCGACGACAACGAGCTATGAGGGAATTGACAGCAGCAAAAAGGGTAAAGGCAAAAGGTAATTATAATGCTTGCTAGCACTCTCCACTCGCGCGCACTCCGGCGAGAATAGACGCAGCCAACTCGGGTCGGCAAGTGTAAAGTCAATGATTATTTACCCAGAATCTTAATGGTAATTTGAGGTACAGAATAATTAGCAAAAAGCATCAATGAAAATGAGCTGGGGAGCATTGGGAATTGGCTGAAATGATGATATTTGATATTTATTAACAACATTCAACATTTCATCATCGTAGTGCGGGGACTTATTTGCTAATGAAGTTTGAATTAGTTTTTCAATTTAATTTCAATTCGCGTTTACGATTTAAATCAATTCAATTCCATTGAATATTGGCAAATGTAATATGACATTTAGATTCGTGTACTTGATCTAAATTGAATTGATTGCATCCAATTATGGCGTGCTTGTGTGTGGTGGCCTGGTGTGACCATCGAATGTGACTGACTGACTGACTGATGCAATCAAATATTAAATGGAAGGACAACAGCAAAAACAACAAATCGAAAACTCCAATTCAATTATTTGTTGGCCACATAACTGGCCAAAAATGATTTGTTTGTTGCCGGCAATGCAGACAAAGGAAGCGTTCGTTACAAATCTCGTTTGCTTGCCATTCAAAGTTGATGGATGGGAAACAAATCGATTTGTAATTTGTGAAACGTTCTTCTATTCTCAGAAATATCTATGTGTGTATGTATGCATGTATTTGTGCACTTTGTTATATCCATCCTATCCGCGTTATTCACAGTGGGAAAATGCCAAATCGAATGCGAGATAAAAATTATAGTATTCAAACGAGTGAATATACAAATGTTTGGCTAAATGTCTCATGACTGCAGTTAGTATGGATGTGAATGTAGAATAATCGGTCCATTCATTGGCAACGTTACCATCCACCATAAAATGATATTCGTCGTAGATATATTCAGCGTAATAATTTTAATAGGGTTAGTCATTTACGCACATATTGATATTAGCCGTAGTAAGTTTGATATTATTAAAGACGAAATATATCCAATAGGTAATTTATTGCCGGTCCATTTTTCTTAAAAAAATTAAACAAATTAATATTATAAATGAAAGAATTTGTCCCATTTAATAAAGTTTATATTCCATTTAATTATTTAAAAAAGATAACGTCACAGCCACGTAGTAAAAAAACTGTATCGTACAGACCTAAAAAGTGTCATTTTTTATAACTTCCACGAAAACTTCATAGAAATCGATTTACTTTTTGTTTTTACAATACAGTGTAGATATTTTGTTTTGAGTCGATTGCTTTTCCTTGTAAGGAGCGCTGCAATCCTTTATGATTTTTTCAATTTATGACATTTGCTTAACGAGACTCAAAAATACTCAACACAACTGATTTTGAGCTTGAGTTTTTGTAGCCCTAATATTATGATCTTTTATAACCGCATATCCCTATATCATATTTTGATGAGTTCTTACCTGATAAAAAATATTTAGTGGAATTTTTGACAACATTTTTCCATCCGATTTTCGGTATCTTATAGGTTCTCATTATCTTTTTATAATTGATGTTGAGTTTGGGGTTTATTGTTCTCATTGAAACTGAACTGATAAACTCTCAATGACTCCAAAAAACTTCTTAAAAATTCTGGCATAGTTCCAATTTTGTACTAAACGGAATAGAAGACAAGCTCCTTGCCGTAATTATTCGAATTTGTATTTATTTATTTCGAAACAATCTATCTGTGATGTTACCCAAATAATTCCTTGTGTAATTCTCTCAGCAACACAGCCCGCCTTAAGATATTTAAAAAAAAAAGAAATAGCAACCTTTTCCGTCCGTATACTCAATTAGCACCCATGTGGTTAATAGACCTGTTCTCTGCCCTATTTATCCCACAATGTAATCAATGCTCGCCAATTTCTTCAAGTTAAAATGTTGTAGGGTATCAAATGATTTACCACCGCCCCTCCCGGGCTACATCCACTTTAACATATTTAACTCAGATTTGTTTTATGTTTTTCTCTTCTCTTCTATTCAGCTCGGGATATCTAAAAGCAATTTGCAAGCATGCTCAAGCCAATTGCTTTTCATTCTGCCTTATTCATTTTATTCATTTGGTTCATCTGATTCAATTTATACATTTCAATGGAGTTCTCTGTGGTGTTTTTTATTCTGTTTTGTATTGCAGTTTTTATGGAACATCAAGCAAGGACAAGAATTACGCACGCACGCAAAACAAATCAAGAACAAAAATGAAAGAAAAATCTCCATCATTAACCTTGCATAAAGCAAGAACATTAATTATGAGCTCTTGTCCAAGCATATTGAATTACGTTAATGGGGTCTCGTTCTCTGTCACTCACTGGTCCTCCTCGCTCTCGGATTTTGTGTTCGCCGCATTTATATGAATTTACGATAGAAAGATTTTCTTCTAATTTAATTCAGTGCAAATGCAAATGCTGTGGCGTTATTAATGCAAATTTAATCAGACAGGGAATAGAAAGATGCTCTTAAGAGGAAATTAAGTTATTAAATTGCGTTTCTAATTGCGATTTTTTGATTAAAGGGTGTTGGGAAATATATTATTAAATTTTGGAACATTCGTATGTGTCTACTTGGATATTGGGATTTGGTATTGAAGTGACAAATGTTTATACCCTCCATCTAAAGTTGGAGTGTATATTAAATTTATTATTCCAATACCTATATGGACCTGTATGTTGACCCGGGTTTTTTGATAGATGTATAAATAACATTTCTGTATATTGACATTTTTGATGATTTCTTCAAAAATATTTCGATATGGGTCTGAATTTTGTCATAGTCGTTTGAGCATTACGCCGATTTTAGTTTTTTTTTTTTTTTTTGAGAATAATTTAATTTTGGATTTTTTAGTTCCGCTCCCGTTTTAAGTTGTTTTTTCGGATTTTGGTGAAAGATTACAAAAAATATTCGACACAACCGATATTAAATCCATAGAGAAAATATGCGAAATTTCTATATCTTACCAATTTATTTCTCATATTAATATTATTTTAATTTCGTAATTTCCCCATTAAAGTTAACATCTGACTCAGATTCCCCTAATTCCCCTCCAATCCCTCCCGTTTCCATTTATTTACATTACCTTAGATTAAAAAAAAAACTAATTAGAAAGTTGAGATATTCCTTAAACCTGTTAATATTGTTCGCATGAGAAACAGCATTATTTGAATTAAAATCCATTACTGTGATGAGTTAAGTATCCTAATCAAGAGAACTTCTAAAAATGTGTTGTTGTTGTTGTTTTTTTTTTGTTGCTCTCTTAGGTATGACTTTTGAATTCCTTGGTAAAAAGGATTTCATGTTTGATGATAACAACGAACAACAATTATGACATTGTTCTTTTGCAGTCTTGTGTAAATTTTTGAAGATTATGAATTTTTCTTAACTTTGTGACTTTGATAAGGAACCTTTTTTTGTTTTTTTTTTTTGCTGCTGCTGCTGTTGTCTTGTATCTTGTTAACAATAATCAATTTTTACGCCCTTCTTCCGATTTCTTTTAATGCCGCATTTCAGCCGGAAACATAAATCAAAATATTGGCCTAAATCCAATGCAAACGACGATGATGATAATCAAAACAGTCATAACGACTTATCCGAGTTACTGGAGTACTCGTGTAGTCTGTGCGATAACTGTCGTTGTATGGACTGTCAGGTAGGTCTGTCTGTTTGTTTGTCTATCTACTTGTTTTAGCTTGTTTGATGGGTGGCTGGCTAGCAGTAAGGCTGGCTGGCTGGCTTGTCTATTGGTCGTTGGTGGCTTCTTTGGCCCATTTTCCAAGGCAATAAATGTTCTATTATCATCCATCATCCTATATTTCCTGTTCCCTTTTCCCCATGCCGAATTTTAATGCTCTTCTGTTGTAGATTGGCTATTTTGACTGTGACAACTCGGATGACAGCAACTCGGAGTATTCGTTTCACATGAATGCCTACGAGGAGGACGATGACGACGACATCGAAAGGGGTATGGAATTGAAGGCAACCATAACAACAGCGGCAAGGGCCCAACTAACATCCGCAGCATCAACGCCGCCCAGTGATGATTCGGGCGAAGCCGTGGAGGAGGATGCCGAGAAGCAGCATGCATTAGCTTGCAATAAAATCGACAATAAAAATGCCATCCAACAATTAGAATTTGAGAGCTCCAGTCGTCGCAGTGGCGGAAGTCATGCCACGACCAAGCATGAAATGGCTGAATGCTGTCATCAATGCTATGGCCTGGAGGTGGAACAGCATTGCCTGGATTTTCATCAACTCTATAACAGTAGTGAATGTTGCGGTAGTGGCGGCGGTGGCGTTGCTGGTGCCACCAGCCATAGGAAGCACTAGCAACGCCAATTGAGAGTGTGTGTGTAGGTGTATGCGTGTGATTTGCATATGCATGCTGATGATGTTAATGAATAGAAATTAATTGCTTAGAAAACAAAAACCAAAAAACGACAACAAGTCTCATATGAAAATTTATTATGAACAAAAATTGTGCCAAAAGTTTCAACATTTTTTCTAAATTGACTTAAACGACGTTATAAATGCTCAAAATGATAAAAAAAAAAAAAAAAAGGAAAAGAAAACTAAATACAAACATACTTAACTACTTAACAAATCTAACTAGATTCTCTCCCCCTCTCCTCCCATACATGAATATGATGATGTTTATTTGAATAAACTCGAAAAAAAAACAAAAAAAAAAAAAAAAAAATTATTTAAAGTATTCAACAAGTGCTATTACCAAAAAAACAAAAATAATAACAAGTGAAAGACAAGCAAACAAAACTCTAAAATATTTGAAATTCAATTTGATTTTATTGGCAATGAAGACATAACAAAAAAAGATACAAAAATAAAAATATAACAAAAATTGCGGAAATGATGATCTGAGCTATTATCGATGTTGTTTTCATTCATACACTCGGTGGGATAAAGTTATTATTAAATATACATTTATTGACAATGATTGCAAGAAATTGCTGAGCTTTTTAAAGTGTATGCCTATTTTATTCAAGGAATAAATATATTTATTCCAAAAAATATGAGCATCAATTGGCTGACACAATTGACAGAAATGCTCACCGGCTTCATGGCGTAGAGGAAAATATTCGATAGACCCTAAATACGATTTATTTTTTAATAGGGATAATATAACACACATTCGAAGGAATAAAAAATTGGGCATATTACTATAAAAAAACGTTTTCTAAAATACTTGCTTGAACCGAGAATAAAAGCTTAGATCAAGTTAAAAAATTCATAATTTGTGGCGAATTTATTATAGGATGGATTTTAAAGCTTTCCTTCTACTGAAAAGTATAAGCATAAGTCCTATTTTGTTGAAAATGTGTAAGGGAGGGCGTATAAATTGCGGCGTTAATTATACGACAATAATTCCCAAAGCTATTGAAAATAATTTCATACTGAACTTTCTATGGAAGCAACAAAAATTTTTGTTGATTGATTATTTTATTCATTACTACTCTGAGTACAGGCGTAAATATTTCAGGGCCAAGGTACTTTGCAGAGGATATGTTTCACCAATGTTGTACATTAAATCTACAATATGAGTTGGTCGAAGCATTCGAAATGGTACAAAGTTCATTGCACTCGATTCACAATGTACATCCTGCTCTATTTCGACTGGCATTGGGATTTCATTATACAAAATGCGACCATCCACACTACGTGTTAAGGTACATGGAAAACCGATCTGATCGGCCAGTGCTTTGAAGAGTACGGATCTCTCAAAATGGCAACCTGCCATTACATGACCCAATGGAATAAAATTACAATGTAATTCTTTGGCCAGGTCTTTGAGGTGACATTTAACCAAATGTTGAGAACAGTCCTCTGAATCATTTAAATCCAGAGGTGGCAAATCATTCGACAATGCCTGGTACACAATATCACTAATGATTTTGACTTTCATAGCGATGTCATCAAAATCGACAATGTGTGGACACTGCCGCAACGGCTGCAAGTGGTATTCCTCCAATTTTTGAAGTAATTTGTTCAAAAGTTTAGGTAGTCCGCTATCACCTGGGCTACGACAATAAATCCATTCTTCATTGTCAATGCCAGCATGGCAATCTACTGGAATTCGTACTATACTCTCCTGTGGTGCTATGGTCCGGTCAAAGTTCACCACCAATATTGGCTGAAGCGGAGACGCATCCATTTTTAGCATAGATTGGAATATGCGGAAGTCGTCAAATCTCTTCTTGGAAATATAGAAATCGTGACCTTTTGTTATATCTGTAAAGCCGAGGTGATTGCGTATACAGAACTTTAATGTTGGATTCTTGCTGAGGATGCTCTCTGCGGCTGTAGTCCAATTGGGAACACAATATGCATGTTTTTGCTGCATAATGAGACTGCGGAGTAGGGCCGTTAACAAATCATTGGGTGTGTAGATAATAAACTTACGTCTCCAAAATTCCATTGTCGAGATATTCACATAGAAACTCTTGAAAATGTGAAGTTTGTATTATGAAATTGCAGGCAGAGGTTTTAACGGCATTCGATAGGGAATGGAGACCCCTTTTTGTGGATGATCCAATGTTGCAATATGACAAAAGTGTTTGGCGAACGGAATCCACATCGATTAGGGTACCCAGGCAACGGTATATGCTACTAACCAATATTGCGGAGGAGAAGGAATTCTGAAATATACTTTCAATTAGAATGTGTTCAATAAACAAATGGTATTCAATTTCATCAGGACATTTTATTACTCACCATCAACAGTGTGCCTAGATTCTTCACCATAGTATCATTTTTACAAAGATATCCCTTATAAGCGGAATATTCTGATAATGCCTCCACGATTTGCAATAGACCCAACACTAGATCTGTCGATATATGCATTATGTGTTGGCCAAATACAATGGCCAACGATTCCGACATGTTCAACGCTATCAGTTGCTGTGATGTTTCGCGAAATGCAAATTTCAACAACTTGAGTATCAAATTGGTGGCTTCTTCTCGTAGCTGGATATTGATGTTGGCACTGACAAGGAAATCTAAAAACAAAAATATATGTTCCAATGAAAATCCAACGTGCTTTTTAAGACCACTAACCCAATAGCTTTTTAATTACACTAATTGATTGTGCATTATATGCCAATATTTCGTGTGCCGTACTCATATGATTAACCAGATGACAAAGGCCCTTTAAAATGTGGACCGAAGGTACTTTGCAATCATCAGCATCTAGGCAAATAAGCAGGTTCTTTACTAATCCTGCTTCAGCTAAACGCTTCGAATACTCGGAAAACATTGCAATTTCGCTAATGACTTTTAATGCCTGGCACATATCCTCATAACCCAGGTTGCCACTGTTTAGCGTCGTCATAAATTCATCAAAGAGATTGTGTTGGAAAAACAAACGAACCATTACTTTGTCACGCATAGCCAATGATAGGACATCCATGACGAGAGGTGTTTCCGACAGCATTCGATTTGTTGCAAACATTTGGGTTAACTCCTTCAAAATTGTTACCTTTATCGCGTCATGACTAAATGGACTGTTTTCGAAATTTAGGTAAGCCATTAGGATGGCTAATAGGTTTAATGCAGCTCTGCGCAAATCCAAAAATTCCGAATTTAAGTTGCATACAATTCGCTCAGCCGGAAATTTATTTAGGGCAATCAGTTTCGGTATATCAGCAGAATTCAATACTCTTAAGATCTTTTCCAGTAATCGCAATGAATTGAGTATTAAATCGGGATTATTTGAAATGGAAAATTGTGTCAGGAAGTTATCCAGAAATTGTGTGTCCCACAATTCCTTAGTGATTTGTGGATCATCCACTAAATTACAAATAATTGCAATTAAATATTCACGGTCCACATCATCTTCTTCAGTACAAAAATATTCCAAGCAGTGTTTAAAAATTGCCCGTGTCCTCTCCAGATCCAAGTCAACTAACCGATTCATATTTTCTAAAATATGATTTGTCAAATACAATCCAAATCTCCGTATTAGGGTATTGTTGGAGTGGCGATAGAAACCGTTGCGTCTCAACAAATCCAATACATTTTGATCCTTTAGCAATTGGACATTGTCATCGTTTCTCCTTACATATTCAGTTAAATGTTTCAGGACATTCACCAGAACCATTTCCTCTTCAGAATTTAATAGCAATAGAACGCTCCCAATACATTCTAAGCGAATGTTCAATGGTGGAAATTCCACAGTTTCATTTATTTTTCGATCCACAAATTCATTTTCGGAAGGTTTCATTAGTTTTTTATTTAATCTTGACATTATTATGTTGTCTGACTGAATGCGAATAAGGAAATACGTAAACGTTGCCTTTGTTTAAATGTATATCAAAGCTACAGTGATACAAAAAACAATTGTTTACAGTCACTTACACTTAGGAAAATTCCTATTGGTGAAGAAAGGCCCTATAAAGAAAAATTCGAAAATATGTATGTAGTAAAAGTATTATTTAGATTACTTTTCTTCACTTATATCGAGTGAGGAATTTTGTAGAACATTTCGTATTTCTAACTCGATTCCTTGCGTGTTCTTTTTTCATAATTTATTGAGTCGGGCTCCACTTATCAAAGGATACGATTTTTCGTCGTCGCAATATTTTACAAAAACGTTGCTCATAAACTTTTAGATGTACAGAAGGGTTCATCGGTATTGGCTATTTTATCTATTGTTTCCATAATAACAATATCAAATGTAACAGCAATTTCGAAATTGGCTGTATTTTGTCATCTCTAAATATTGCCATCAAAAACAAAAGTGTTCATGTCCTTAACGGCATTTTTTCGAAAATAAAAAGTGAAAAATGCTAAATGGTTCGTGTCTATGCTAAACAGTCTGCCTCAACCCCTATGCCTCAGTCTATTCATGCCGAACATTGGCATCACTTGTATATCCCTAGTGCATAAAATGCGCAGGTCCTTCTAACGTGTCCTTTTCACTGACATTCACTTTTCAGAATGTGTTCCTTTCAAGTAGCTGTGTAGCATTGTATTACAAAAAAAGCAATAAAAATAGTGAAAAATTCGACAAGTAGAAAGGTTTTTTGTTATTTTAAGTTCTTCCTAGTCTTAAGATGTTCACCTACCATACAGTTCTACAAATCTTATGGATATCAATTAGTTTTAATCAGTATACCAGTAAGTAATTTTTCGGTGGCTACAAATTGGGTGCAATGTACTTTTACTCCCCCGCCCTTGTTGCTTCAGTATTGCTGAGTGTGTGTGTGTGTCTGTGTATTGGGGTTTGTTTTCTAATACTTTGTGTTTTGCATGTTCCCATTCTGGCAATAACGATGATATTGGAAATAGTGGCAGGACAATCCTTAACCACTGCTATACACCGTACCCAAGCTGCCCAGGAACGTATCAATGACCTCAAGTGTTACAAATGTGACACCATGGACGATGGTGAACTCTGTGTGGATGTTGTCAATTCGAATGCCACCAATTTCATACACAAATGTGAGGGTGATGAGTTCATTTGTATGGTATGTGTGCTACATGAAAGTCTTCAGTATTGGAGTCTTGTCAATATCCTCGTTTGTCACGTTGTTGATTTGCTTCTTCTCTGTTTTCAGGTCAAACGTTTCTCCTATACCACCTCTAATGAAAATTCCACCAGCTCCCCGAAAATGTGGTCCTTGGATCGCCGTTGTGCGGTTAATTGTGAACCCGGTTGTATAGTCATAGGTGAGCGTACCAAGTTGTATGCCTGTACATCGTGTTGCGAGTCACCCATGTGTAATACCGGCAAAGGTTCCGCTTCGTCCGTTCTGGCATTTGGACGAATTGAAACGGGCATTGGAACGTCGCTGAGTCTTCTAACATTGGTGAAATGTTTCCTCCATTACATATCGTAAAGAGTATACATTGCCAATTGTTGCTGTACTCCAAGCAAAGAGCAAAAACAAAAACAAACAAAAAAAAAAAAAAAAAAATGAAGAGGACCAGTGCCAAGTTCATGTCTATTTTTTTCGATACGATTTTATTTTTTTTGAAAAAGAAAAACGAAACACAAACACACAAAAATCTAATCTAGAATTTATTAAGGACTTCCTTTATGTAGTTGTTCGAAAATTATTTAAATCAAATAGTTGTACAATTTAATGATATACAAAAACATACATAAACTAAATATATGAATATTAAAAAAACAAAAACAAAGAATTATGTCACTCATAGAAGTACTCCCTGGATTAGATTCTATTGTTATTCCATAACTTGGAATGAAGGTTTTATAATCCTTTTATCGACGTTAAAAGCATTTGTAGGTCATCCTTTATAGTTTTTGTTTTGTTGACGATAGAAGCCTTTCAAGGTCTCTTTCGACAATTGAAGCCGTTTATCGATGTTGGAGCTTTATACAAGTTTTGTCGACGATGGAAGCCTTTTTTGAACTTTAGAAGCCTTTTATCGACGATAGAAGCCTTAATAGGCCTTTAGCGACGAAAATTTTATCGATAATATAAGACTTTATAGGCCTGTTTGGGCAATATACACATTTATAACCCTTTTTGGGCGATACAGGTTTATAGGCCTTTATGGAAGATACAAGCTCTTACAGGCCTTTTATAAAAGCTGCATAGGCTTTTTTCGATTGTAAAAACGCTATTATTATTGGTTCATGTCTGAGGGGATAAGGTAGTTAACTTGGAAAAATAATATTGGGGTTATCGACTGCCAGTTTTTATATCCATTTGCGTATTTAATTAAGGTTTCTGATAAATATAGTGGCGTCTAATGTTAAAATTTAATACCCCACTCTTTTTGTCAAAATGTCAACCCTTGGCCTTTTTAGATGCCAAATAGGGTATGCCAAAGTGTCGATAAAAATAGTACAATGTAGTAGAAGAATTTTTAGATTGTACAAAGTTTGTAGAAAATATACAGCTATCTTTGGAGAGTTGTCGTATATTAATGTAATGATAACACAGTAGATAAATTTGGTGATATATAGGTAACATTTTTAATTTCTCGATTTTGATAAATTTCAACAAAGTCACTATGTTCCAAACTGCCCCGGTAAGCTTTGAACAAGTCTTGGCATTTTAGTTATGTTTAAAATGATGATTGAAGTGCAAAGAAAAAAAGCTTGACGACAGAAAACGATCACTAAGTTCTTCCTATCCCCTACAACAACAAAATTTGAAATTTACTAAGACATTACGAAAACTTATTCACTCACCTACATTCGGTCGATAACTGAAAAAGCTAACCAATGTTGTTCACGCTGCTAGAGAACTTGATTGCCATTAAAAAAATAATAATGTTAAACCGAAAAGTGCCCCACGTTTAAAGGTGCCCCCCTCTGCCCTATACATATTTTCTAAATGGTTTGTCTATTTCAATAAATATGAATGACTGACTATTCAGTACTAACCGGTGGATGCTATTCTTATGTTTTTTTTTTCGGATTCATAACATGGCTTTTTAATATTATAAACACATGTCAGTGCAAATGGAAATGATAATTTTATTATCTCTCTATCTTAAACGAATTCCTGTAGTTCTGGAAACACTATCACCTAGTAATAAGTTCCCAATTTAAGCTATCCCTTGGCAATCATTATCTGCATTTCAAAATATTATATTTCATCACATTACAGTATCCAGATACACAACAATTTAATACAGTCATATTAAAGTCTGCCAATAAATCGGAAAATAAGACTATCAACTATCTTTGACCTCTCTGTTGTGTTGTATTCGATGCCCAAACACTTAATTCGTATATTTGTTTAACTGCAACAACAAAACATGGCTTCACTAATAGAAGTAGAAGCAATTTCAGGTAAATTTACAACAACTGTTGATTATTGGTTTGGTTATTAATGGAATACTACGATAGACGTGATTTGGGTTGAGTGGGTAGTGTGTGTTGGGGGTGATGGTTGAGAGTTGAAAGATAGCAACAAATTTCCATTTTGGTATGTCTTCATTAGTTTGACCCAAATTACTCGTCCTGCTTTGATCTGTGCAAATTATGTGGCCAATAAAGGTGCATGTCCTTCCCCTCCTCCCCACCCCCATTCTCTACCGAAAAACTCTAAACCACCTGTCAGTTTGTCGATTGTTCGATGTAGTGTTTCAAGTGTTGTATTTAAGCAAATGTATGTTTGTGGGTGGGTGTGTGTGCGTGTGTGTGTGTTTACACATGTAGATGTAAGCACAGGTATTCGAACACAATCAGTTTCCAAGTAATGGATAACAATTACTTTGTGTTGTGTTGTGTTGTGTGGTGGTAACCAAGGTATCCCAACCAGCAGCAATATTAGAAGAGTTGTGAAGACCGTAACCCCGTGAGAGGGGAGGAGGGATATTCTCACTGCCGCAATTGGTGTTTGGGTTGTTTGCGTTCTTGCCAGTCCTATTGACTGGTTGAGTTGATTGGCAAATATAGATTTGATTTTCGATTTCATATCATAAACATATGTTTTGTACGGAAAACCAAATATACATACATATATACAACAGCACACACACTAACACACAAACGCAAATACATTTATTTGTAAGTTCAAAACCCTGAAGCATATGTACACACATTAATTCAAATCCCTTTTTTCCAAAAAAAAAAAAAATGTACAAACACACATACAACTAATAACACATAGAAAATGCAACAACATGGTTATCGAGGATTTAGCAAAGAATCAGATTGTTCATTTGTGAGTGAGTGTATGTGTGTGTGTGCACGCGACGAGAGTACATGTATTTGGTTCGTTGCTCGGTTGGTTTGTTTTACAAATTTGCTTTGATTTTTAAATTAACAGTTTTCCAGCAATTTTCTGGTTGGGATTTGATTTTTTCCACTTCCACTGTTTGGTCAAAGTCATTGTAACAATAACAAGAACAAGAGTAATACCGCTAATAACTGCAATAACGATGTTCTTGTCATCATCCGATTTTTTTGAATAATTTGAAAAATCATATGTATTTGTCATGGAAAAATGTTTTATTTTGTCACATACAAAAGGATGCTGATGATAAATAGAAAATATTAGTCAGAACATATTGCGGACTAACGGTCATTGGAAGAAAATATTGTATTTGGAAGAATTAAAATCGTTTGGACTAGTATTAGATTTTCAATGGTATTTGATATTACAATGAAAAAAAGGTAATCCTTTATTGTTAACATTTTTTTTATAAAATAGTTGTAATAAATTACATAATTTATAATAAATAAACATTTTCGAGGTCTACAATTGTTTTATTGCATTGGCTCGAAATTTTGAATGTTTAGTATATTTTGCTAATATTTCTTAGATGATAATATGACAAATTCATATATGTGTGATTGATTGTGAACTTAAAATCAGTATCAAATCACTGAAAGCTACTAAGACCACGTTGTGGGTTCTGGAGAATCCTATCCACGTACATCAATGAACGTACAATGGAATATGTGATCACAAAAATACTGCTACTTCTAAAACTAATTTAGGTGCTGGGAAATACAAAAATTAATAATAACTATTCTAAACAATTAAAAAAGTCTCAGAGAGAACAGACATGGACATTAGAGCTGCTGCGACTACAACTCGTACATGTACAAAAAGAGGAATCCGAGAAACAGCGGGAACAATTTAAGGAACCGAAGGCCTAAAGCTCGTGACAACTGAACTGGTAGAGCCATAGATTCGTGAGCAGTGCTGAAGGCCGAAAGCTAACGATACAACAATTGATAGCATTGCAGAGAATGAGCGAAAGCAACTACAAAATGAACGGGGCAATTGGAAAGTATAATATTGCAGCAGATGAAGTAATTCAAAAGAATCTGTTTAGATTGATTATGGCACTAGTTTCCATACAAGTAACAATACAAAGGGAAAACACTGTACTTTCTCAATTACAGACTAATTTATAAAGCTTTCCGAAGAGGTAGAGGTAAATCTATCCGTTGCTCTGTAGAAAATGAAAACATCGTGGCAAAATTAAGTTGACGACATCAATCTGCTGCATTTGCCGTTGGTCATGGCATAGAAGAAGTGGTCTACGAATTGGTAAATATCGAGGCCAAAAAAGTGGACATTAAATATAGGAGATAATTTCGAACTTAAAACAACTCAATTTATTTTGACAACCAAACACTATTTTGAAAGGTTTGAAATTCAACACTGAAAGTCTGGCGAGAGAACTTTTCTGAATAATTACTTGTTAAAGCGTTTTCATAAGATAAAGCTCATCTTCGAACTTGACCTGCCTGCAGACAAAAGACGACCCTATGCAACATTTTGGCGATCTATCTTAATTCTTTTAGTCGCTAGAATAATTACAACAGACAGACGGACATGCTGCAATTTGGTATTTTGTAGTCGCATATGGTAACAAATCTCCCTACCAAAAATTATTAATATTCGTCCCCTTTTTGGGGTAGTCCTCATATAACCCCCTTTTTTATATAAAATAGTAATCTGATTTGTTCCGCGTTTTGAATTTGGTTCTGAGACTCTATTGTTATCATTTCACCTGCGGAGGAAAGCGAGATAAAAAATTAGATCGTAAGGTTCGATAATGAACTATATCCGCATTTAGACCTAGCCCCTGTGTGGAGGTTCCAGAGGTAGTGGACTGATATTAACCATCTTCAAAGTTGAACTAAGTTTGGAATAAATAATAAGATGGGCAAAGTTTGGATGAAATCTAAATTTTCGGAAACGAATTTGGTCCAAAGAAACATGGGGTCTAGAACCAATATTTCGATGAGGCACATTTTCACCGTGTTAAAGTGTATACACCCTCATTAGCCATTAGGCTGAGGGTACAATTATCCATTAAAAAATTCAGAAATTTGTATTATGGTTAACATTATGGTTTACATAATCCGTTTTTAGAAATGTCGGTATAGGCCCACTTTTTGGTATGTTCCCTATATTTTCATTTATAGTACCTGTCAGTATATCTATGGTGGAGGGTATCCAAAGTTCGGCCCGGCCGAACTTAACGCTTTTTCACTTGTTTTATATTAAAGTCGCTGTTGGGAA